TCATTTGCTACCTATGGGTACCTTTACTCTGAGATAATTAATTAATCCTATCTCATGAAACAATACCAAAGCTAATGTCAGTTTTGAAGAAGAGTCACTGGACTCAAAACATTAACTCTGCTTTCTTCCCACAGATGCTGCCAGACCTGCTGAGTATTGCCAGCAATTTCTGTTTTTATTCCAAATCTAATATAACCTACTTTCTATCAATAACAGAATTTACCTTTCTGAGAAACCATTTCAAAACCATTCAAATTCCTCATGCAAGCGACTCGCGTCAATCTGATTTTTCCAGTTGACATGTCAATTGGAGTCACCTATGATTAGTGGCATCACTTTATCACAAGCAACAAATATTTGTTCTTGTATACATTGTAATTACTGTTAAGGGGCCTACAGAACACTCCCACTAGTGATTCTCTTGTTATTCCTCATCTCCACCTAAACAAATTCTGCATCCTGATCTCCTAAATCAAAGCCATTTCTATTACATAAATGCCATCCTTGATTAAGTGCTATCCCTCCACATTGCCTTATTTTCCTATTCTCCTCGAGTCTCATATACCCCTCACTATTTAGAACCTGATCCAGTCATCCTGCAACCACATCTCTGTAATGTTTAATGGATCATTTTATTTATTTCTGTGTACTTTCAATTCAGTTCCCTTGTTATGAACACTAAGTGTATTCAGATACAGAGCCAATAGTTTTGTCTTTTTGCTACCTTTGCAACATCTAGGCATCATTGTTGGTGCATTAGTAGAATTTTTCTCTCTGTCCCTTTCTGCCATTTCCTGAGCTTCATTTCCCATAATACTATTTTCCTCAGTTACCTTGTCTCTACTCTTTGAGATACTACATCATACATGTTTGAGCCCTTACCCCTCATTTTGGGTGAAACCCCCTTGCTATTTCCCTAGTTATCCATTTTATAAAAATACTGGCCCCAGCATGGTTCAGGTGTTGATCACCGCAAGTTCAAGTCCCACGTATCCCAGCACTAGTGCCAGTGGCCCAGAAACTAAGACCCACAGCTCCCATACTTGGCGTTGAGCCAGGTATTCATCTCTCTAACTTTATGTGTTCACAGAATCCTTACAGTGTGGAAACAGGCCCTTCGGCTCAACAAGTCCACACCAACCTTCACAGCATCCCACCCAGAGCCATCCCCCTATAACCCACATCCCTGAACACTACGGGCAATTTGTACTCTGTGAAAATTTGCTTGTGGCTCAGAAAGTACTTCAAAACATATAACCTTTGATATTTTCCTCTATAATTTAGTGCCCAGCTCTCCATATTGTCAATGCAGAACACCTTTCCTTAGTCCTAGCCATGTTATTGATACCTACATGGATCACAACAACTGGATCTTCTCCATGCCATGCCAAGCTCCTCTCCAGCCATGAGTAGATGTTCCAAACATTTGCATCTATGCAACAATGCAAAAAAATTGCCCAGATATGTCCTGTTCACCAAAAGCAGGACAAATGCAACCCAACCATTTCCTGCCCCATCAGTCTAATCTCAGTCACCTGTAAAGTGATGGAAGATGACATCAGCAGTGCTATCAAGCAGCACCTGCTCAGTGATGCCCAGTTTGGGTTTTGCGAGGGCGACTCAGCTCCTGGCCTCATTACAGCCTTGGTTCAAACATGGACAAAAGAGCTGAATTCCAGCGGTGAGGTGAGAGTGACAGCTCTTGACATCAAGGTTGCATTCAACTGAGTGTGGCACCGAGGAGCCCTAGCAAAACTGGAATCAATGGGTATAAGGGGCCAAACTCTCCGGTGGTTGGAGTCATACCTGACACATAGGAAGATGGTCGTGATTGCTGGAGGTCAGTCATCTCAGCTCCAGAACATCTCTGCAGGAGTTCCTCAGGATACTGTCCTAGGCCAAAACATCTTCAGCTGCTTCATCAATGACCTTCCTTCCATGATAAGGTCACAAGTGGGGATATTTGCTGATCATTGCATGATGTTCAACATCATTCGCAACTCCTCAGGTACTGAAGTAGTCCATGTTCAAATGCAACAAGTTCTGGACAATATCCAGGCTTGGGTTAACAAGTGGCAAGTAACATTAATGTCACATAAATGCCGGGCAATACCCATCTCTAACAAGAGAGAATCTAACCATTGCACCTTGACATTCAATGGCATTACCATCACTGAATCCTTCATTATCAAGATCCTTTTGGTTACCAATGACCAGAAACTCAACTCGACTAGCCATAAAACATTGTGGCTACAAGAGCAGGTCAGAGGTGAGGAATACTGCAGTGGTAAATCTCCTGAGCCTGTCTACCATCTACAAGGCACAAGTTAGGAGCGTAATGGTGTACTCCTTACTTGCCTGGACGCATGCAGCTCAAACAAAACTTAAGAAACTTGAAACCATCCAGGGAAAAGCAGTCCACTTGATTGGCATCACATCTACAAACATCCATTCCATCCACCACTGACATTCAGTAGCAGCAGTGTGTACTATCTACTAGATGCACTGCAGAAATTCAATGCTCCTTTGATATCACCTTTCAAACCCATTAATCACTACAATCTAGAAGGACAGGGGCAGCAGATACATTGGAACACCATCACCCATGAGATCCCTTCCAAGACAACTCACCATTCTGACTTGGAAATATATCACCGTTCCTTCAGTGATGCTCGGTCACACTCCTGGATTTCACTTCCTCATGGCGCTGTGGGTCAACCTACAACACATGGACTGCAGCAACTCAGGAAGGCAGCTCACCACCACCACCTTCTCAAGGGAGACAAAGGAGGAATAATAAATGGTGACCCAGCCAGCGACACCCACATCCCACACGTGAATAAAAAAAACCTTGACACGAGGTAGGCATCACACTCATTTAGATTCTCACTCCCTCCTGTGAATGATGGGTCAATCCTCCTCACTGTACTATCCCCTGCTAATATGATTACATTCCTTGCTGCTCGCTTTACTTGAATGACTTCCTGTACCATGGTACGATAGCCAGTTTGTCCATCTACCCTGCAGTCTCCCAATCTCATTCAAACAGTTTGGGGGTACCTTAAACATGTTGGACAATTGCAGAGAAAATCACTCCTGTATTCCTGCCCTTACCAAAGACCCACAAAATAGATAGTTCCATTCCCCGTAGTAGAGGCAAAACTAATTCTAATCAACTCCAATAATCTAACTCTACCTCCGAATGCCAGTCTCAAGGTTCTGCTCCCACCTGCTACTCTAAGTGATGCTGGCTGCTTAATTTAGGGTCCTTCTCTCTCCTGCTCCTCTCATAACATCAAAATAAAGATAGTCAGAAAAATCCACATTTACAGAATGCAAAGTGGCTGTTTGCACAGACTTGAGTAAAAGTAGCTGCAAAAACCCCCGATTTGAAGTAAAATAAAATTGCTATGCAGGGAAAAAGACACACTTTGGTAGCAAAATTTTAAATTGTGCTTACCAATGTTTTAGTCAAAAATGCCTTGCAATCTCTCTTATCATTCCTACTGTGTTAGGAATAAGACCATAAGACATAGGAGCAGAAATTAGGCCATTCGACCCATCAAGTCTGCTCCACCATTCAATCATGGCTGATAATTGCCTCAACCCCATTCTCCCACTTTCTGCCTGTAACCCTTGATCCCCTTGATAATAAAGAACCTATCTATCTCAGTCTTAAATTTACTCAATGACCTGGCCTCCACAGCCTTCTGTGGCAGTGAATTCCATAGATTCACCACTCTCTGGCTGAAGAAATTTCTCCTTATCTCCGTTCTAAAAGGTCTTCCCTTTACTCTAAGGCTGTGCCCTCGGATCCTAGTCTCTCCTACCAATGGAAGCATCATCCCAACATCCACTCTGTCCAGGCCATTCAGTATTTTGTAAGTTTCAATTAGATCCCCCCTCATCCTTCTAAACTCCAATGAGTATAGTCCCAGAGATCTCAAATGTTCCTCATATGTTAAGCTTTTCATTCCTGGGGCCATTCTTGTGAAGCTCCTCTGAACCCGCTCCAAGGCCAGTACATCCTTCGAGATATGGGGCCCAAAACTGCACGCAATACTCCAAATGTGGCCTGACCAGAGCCTTATAAAGCCTCAGTAGTACATCCCTGCTTTTATATTCAAGTCCTCTCAAAATAAATGCCAACATTGCATTTGCCTTCCTAACTACTGACTCATACTGCAAGTTTATCTTGAGAGAATCCTGGACTAAATAATGAGTTGGGTTGAGAATAATGAGAATGATGAGTTGGGTTGAGTCTGAACAAAAACAAAGTTGCTGGAAAAGCTCAGCAGGTCTGGCAGCATCTGTGAAGGAGAAAACAGAGTTAACGCTTTGGGTCCGGTGAACCTTCCTCAAAACAGGTTGAGTCTGAGGTGGAAATAGAGGGGAAGAGGTCATCTATGCCACTGCATGCCATTGAAATCATCCATGTTTTCAATGTCATAGAATAGGTATATTTTGGTCCATAATGGGAATTAGCAATTTAATCTTCCATTCCCTTACAGGGAATACTGATCCAGGCCTAGGAAATATTTGTTTGAATGTAAAAAGACTTACATTTGCTTGGTATCTAGTTTGTACAGGGCTAGTTCCCACAAACAGCAATATGATAATGACCAGATGATCATTTTTGTGAGATAGTAGGAACTGCAGATGCTGGAGAATCCGAGACAACAAGGTGCAGGGCTGGATGAACACAGCAGGCCAAGCAGACATTGGTTGAGGGCTTAGATTGAAAATTGGGAGAAATTCACTGCTTTCTTCAATATAATGACTTAAATCTTTTAAATTCACCTGCAAGCCTTGTTTACCGTTTCATCTGTAAAACAACACCTCAGTACTACACTGGGGTGTTAACCTAGATGTTTGTGCTCAAGACCTGACATGGGACTTGAACCAAACTTCTAGCTTAGTGCTATTTACTGAACCACAGTTCAAATGATTTGTGTTTAGATCTACTTATGCCAAGGAATTAATCACTGCACATATCAGACCTGCTTGGAGATGGACTGCGAAGATATCGGGCCTGTACAGACAGAACATCTTGTTGATCATTATCTCCTGGAACAACTTGTTCATTGTTGGTGTTCTGAGATGTTGCCATTACTGCTTCCCAGTTCTGTACAAAAACAAGAAAAATAAATATCTTCACATATAAAAAGACAGACATAGAAATAAATTTACACAAAATTATCATTTCATATTCTCAAAATGAAAGGCATTAAACATCATAAGATCGATCTTTCGTCTGAATTGAGCTACCCCACTCAAAATGGAACAAAAATCTGTACCATTTAATTATTCTGACAATATTCCTCAATCCCAGCTGCACTGCAACATCTGACCTTTATATTTTCCATTCTCTATTCTCATACTATTTGAGCTGAGATTGCCAATAAAACTTGGAATAATTATCCTTTCACCTTTGTGGCCTGTGCTCAAGTGCTGCTCAGGCAGAGAAATCTCCTACTTTCTTTGATTGTTAAAGGCTCTGAATGAAATGATCTTGAAAAAGCGTCATCTGACCTTCAGGAGTCAGGAGCTCTCCACAACAACAGTAGTCACCAAATCTGGACAATCACTTGGTTTGACAGCCTGTTTTATATCCCACAGGATGTACTTTCCAATGGAATGTGGAATGACACAATGTACAGCAAGCAGATAGTCCCATCCTATCAATTTCACACCAGGTCTGTTTGGTTAAAACTACTTCCCCCCCCCAACTATCGTAAACATATTTTTGAACAGGAGCAATGTGGAGAGAAACTAGAAACCGTCAGAAGCACATTACTAGACATACAAAATAACCGAATCACACCGAAAGCAACGTCGGAATGAAAGGACAGAAATATTGCAGGAACCAAAATAACTTTCCTCAAACATACATCTACAGGCAAAATTCATCAAGCTTCAAAAAATCTGTAAAGGCCAATAATCCTTGCTGCCAAGGCAGGCGTATCTACATCATGCATGAGCACAGCACAACTTTTGTCGAATTCAAAATTTAGGTCTTAAAAGGGCTGCCAAGCATCAAATACTATTTACTATCGATAATGAATAGGGACAAAACCGGGAACTGCATATAAGCAGGAGAAATACAACATCACTCCACACACTCAAGTCAGGAGATGGATCTGAGGGTACTTGTGCATTGTTTGCTTAACTCATTAGTGATTGACAGCAATTTTAAAAAAATAACAGAATGTTCAGCTGCATGGCCAGAGAATAGAGCTTGCATCTCAGGGAGTGAAAATAAACTGGCATAAACCATCAGAATGGCTTCAGTTGAAGAATGGATTGGGTTAAATACAAACATAAACACATGCTGGCTTTTGAAAGGGCACAGCAAAGAAGAATGACATTGATTGCTTGGATTAAACACAGAAACTGCTAGGAAAGTGCTAGATATATGGACAAACATTACATTGGAAGAAAGTCTTGGAGATCCTACATCTTATTCACCTTTCTATTAAATGCAGATGATTGAGTTTGAATAGAATAAGAATAATTTTTTGACCAGGTATAAACTTGTGGTTGCTTACACGAGTCCCACCAATACAGACCATTGGGAGGCCTGGCAACTCACAGGTTTCTGAGTGGGGACGTTGATTTGGAGGGTGGAGGAGGTGAGAATAGATTAGCAACAAACCAGTGTGGATCACAGCATGCCAAAATTCCCTTGCAAAAGTGGCCTGCAGCCAACTGGTTAGATTGCTTAACGCCTGGCACAACTTGTAGATCAAATGACAATAGGTATTCTTTTTAAGACTCAGATAACAAGGTGTAGAGCTGGATGAACACAGCAGGCCAAGCAGCATCAGAGGAGCAGGAAAGCTGACGTTTCGGGCCTAGACCCTTCTTCAGAAATGGGGGAGGGGAAGGGGGCTCTGAAATAAGATCCACTGAGTCTTTCCAGAGGGAGGAGGGTAACTTCTTCAAGGTAGGCATCCTTAGAAGATGCTTCGCAGTGGGGTTAAAATTGTTTCAGAGATAGTAGGAACTGCAGATACTGGAGAATCTGAGATAACAAGGTGTAGAGCTGGACGAACACAGCAGGTCAAGCAGCATCAGAGGAGCAGGAAAGCTGACGTTTTGGGCCTGCACCCTTCTTCAGAAATGGGGGAGGGGAAGGGGTTTCTGAAATAAGATCCACTGAGGTCTTTTTAAGACTGTAAGGTTTAGGATTCCAATCTGCATATTTAAACCTGCCTTTTATCTCTTTGTGATGGGTTTGATAGGTACCCATTTAAGGGCCTGCCTTAAGTTTAAATCTAGTGATGCCCAAGGTGCTCAATTCATTATTCTGTAAAAATTTCACGTTCTGCAAGATGGAGTAGCAATTCAAAATCTCAACATTCACATATCTGTAACAAAAAGCCATTAATAGGCTCAGAGGAAGGAATATGAGCTAATTGTATGGGAAGACTATGGATAGTGCCACAAAATTAAAGATATGCACTATTATAGAGTTAGAATTTTTTTGAAAATGAAGGTTATGAGATCAATTTGTGATTTTTTCATACTTGGGTCTAGGTGCAGGGACCACAATGGTTCTATTTTCTGACCAGCTAGACATGGCTGATTATGTTGCAAATCCACAGATATTTCATTCTTATTGTTACAGCATAGGGGTTTTCATTGGAATGCACATTGGCTACTGGTTCAGGAATGCACAATGAAAAAGGGTCCCCAAATTTATGGTGCTTAGCCATCTGTTCTCCAGTTGCTTTTTCATGGGATACCAGCATTTGTTGTGCAAACTTTATGGCCCTTTAACTGAATGGCTTGCTAGCAACATTGCGTGGATCTGGAGTATGGATGGCTGATGTTCTTTGCCAGAGAGGATTAGCGAACCAGATGACTTTTAATGACAATTGCACCACAAACTAGCTTTGTATTCCAGATTCTCAGCTGTGGTGGGATTTGCACCCATGTGCCCTGTGCTATCCGCTCCTCCTTGACTCTTTCAATAGTTGTACTTTCTACAGCTTGTACTCATCCACATAAGATTAAATAAAACCTGACTGATCCTATCAAGCAGGCTCCTGAAAGTAAAAAAAGTAAAACAGTAGAGCGTGCAACTTAAAGGTTGCGAACTAGAGAACAGTAGAGGTTGTAAAGCAACACATTGCAAAAGGCATGCATATGCATACACATACACAGATTTATTTAGTAACAAAAAAAGTCATGGTATAAATAAAGCTATGAGACTTTACCATATCTATGCACTGAAGTAAAGAATACAAAAAGTGTTATAAATTAAAGCTGTCATTTAAATGTAGATTAGCAGACCAAGGACAGATTCCCCTACTCACCTTTGAAACAATGCTATGGGATTTTGTACATTCTTCCAAGCAGATAGATGGCTTTAGTTTAACATCTCATTTGAAAGACTACAGCACTGCTTGGAGAGGCAGTCTAAATTATTTTTGCTGGAGCCCAGAAGAGACTGGAATAATGTAAGTTAGGGACAAATGTATTATGAGCCACAGTTGACAATTTTGCAGTTTCAGACATATCCTGAAGAAGAGTCATTTTGGGACTTGAAACGTTAATTTTGTTTCTCTCTCCTTAGATGCTGCCAGGCCTACGAGGTTTTCCATCACTTTTTGTTTACAACTCAAAGGTCTTGGAAAATGCTAATTCCAACAGCATTCTCTCGCTGCTAAGTGCTTCTGCACTGGCTCAGCCACACACATCAGATGGATGATGACCGTATACCCAAAGACATTTCGAATGGTGGGCCATCAGGAGGCCTAGATGCCTACTCAGCATACACACTATGAGGATAATCTGTAAGCTCAATTTGAACATTGACACTCTGAAGGTTGACCACTTGGAGAGACATCAAAAAAGGTGTGCAGAAATGATACACTCGATTGGTGAGAAGAGGGTTCAGAAATAATAGAGACCAGTGAATTGTGTACCTTCTCAGCCTCACTGTCATCAGCTTCAGCAAATGGGGCAAAGTCTGATTAGAGTGGGGATCCTGAGCCACAGCAGGCAACGTTTAACACAGGGTTGACCATACAAGCTAAACCATCATCTCACAATGACATGTAAATATAGGCAAAGGACCCCTGAGCATTTTAAAAATATTCTGTTTTGATAACTGTAAATGTAAATGCCAATTGAGCAGCTGTGAAATTCCAATACTTTTCTCTCTTTCACTTCATTTCTTACATATTTTTGTTTTCTCAAAGTTTTGTAAAAGCTACTTAGTCTCATCCTCAGAGATCGCAACAGCAATTCAAACTATGCTTGAAGCACTTTCGTTTAAGAGAAAAGTGTTTCAGATCTCCTGATGTGGTCTTCAATGATGTAATGATTACTAGTCATCAAGTTGTTGCAAGCAACAACTAAATAAATAAAATAATTGCTTTCGATTCAAGTCAGCAAAATCTACCATTTTAAATGGTTGAAAATTAAATGGTTATTTTGAAAAATGCTACTTTTCCAAGAACAAACCACAAGAATGGCAGAATCTTTCAGAATAACTGAGGATGCAGGTCACTGTTTCTGGATCACATTCAGTTCTGCTAGTCTTCATGCAACATTCTCAATGCATTCTTCTCAGATCAGATAATACTGCATGCACAGATTTGCTTTAGTGCCCATAAAGAAATAAGTCGAAGATCTGAAAATTGTCCCTTGTATTAAAGTTTACCGACATTTCATTAATTTTACTAACATCCTAGGCTGTCAGAAAAACAATCTGCCATCTGGATGTAGTTTTTACTCAGGATGTCAAAGAAAAGGTAATAAGTTTAACACCGAGGCCTGAACCATTGGAATATCTGTACAAAATTTTATGACTCAGCTCCTGTCAGATGGAAATGTAGCAGGACAAAACCGCTTTGATTGTGTCCGAGACTGAAGCTCTTAGAATCGATCCTTATGACCAGCAAAATTCATGGGCTGTGATCCAGCTACCCTGGCCCTCCAATGCTGGCCCAACCAGATTCTGTGGAAGGGTTCCTAATTCACATGATTCCAATAGGCCCTGTTGCTATCGTAGGTGCACTTCCTGCACTGTACATGTTGGAAATCTAAATGCTCATGTTCTGTTTAGTGAAAGGTTTTCCAGCTCACCTCCTCTTATATGTATTGAGGTGGAGAACATATGTAGAAGGCCAATCCAGTTACTGAAATTTACTTTGGAGTTGCCTGGACCCATCCTTGTTGGGGTGAACCAAAGTGCCCACTTGGAGGCCAACATTCCTCACCACACACCAATACCAAACTTCGTGTACAGTGCATGCACCAAAAGAGACAGCACTGATGGTCTTCAATCTCAGATCTAGTCAAACATCATCTTCTCACATGTTTCTGTGTGAAATGGGTGGATGTTCTGCCTATTATAATAGAAAATTCTGGGAGGTTTCAATCCAGTTCCTTAAAAAAAAATTTGGAGACTCTAATATTCAGCAAATTCATCATGAATTTAATGAATTTCATAAGTGAATACATACTGTTATGACCAGTTAAGTGTTATAATATTTGTAATACTTACTTGAATCTGCATGTAACAATTTTAACCTGAAAATTCCAAGCAACGATATCAAGTTTACAAATTATTGCCCCACCCCAATACTGCTTCTTATATTGACTCCAAAAGCAATTGATAAAGTGGAACATATGGGGCCAATTTTAACTCATTCAGAACCATCCACATGAACGGAGTTAAAACAGGCCTCATTCTGCTTGCAGGTGACTCAATAGGAACTCAAAACAATGAATTTTAGTAGCAACATAGAACAAAAACAAAAGTTGCTGGGAAAGCTCAGCAAGTCTGGCAGCATCTGTGAAGAAAACATCAGAGTTAACATTTCAGGTGCGGTGACACTTCATCAGAATTTTCTAATTTAATAGAATTATAGTTTAAAATAGCTTAAGTAATAGTTAAATAGTTTAATAGAATCCTTACAGTGTGGAAAGGGGTCATTCAGCCCATCAAGTCTGCACCAAACCTCTGAAGAGCATCCCACCCAAACCCTGTAACCCCAAATTAACCATGGCTAACCCAGCTAGCCTGCACATCCCTGGATACTACAGGACAGTTTAGCATGGCTAGCCTGCACATCTTTGGACTGTGGGAGGAAACCGGAGCACCCGGAGGAAACCCCCACAGATACGAGGGGAACGTGCAAACTCCACACAGACTGTCACCCAAGATTGGAATAAAACCTGGGTTCCTCATCTTGTGAGGCACCACTGCACCATCCTATCATGATGGCCAGGCCCAGTAATCACAGAAGAACCTGATCAGTCTCCCAGTAACAGAGAAACCCTCCCTAATTAAGTGGGAAGGTGGTAGATATGGGATTCTCAACCACCTGCATTTGAATGACAATCAACCTTATTAATGAGCTGATTGACAACCACTATTCCTGAGCCCATCACAATTCACTGGCAGTTTAGGGATTAAATTTGAGCCACATGACTTTCCTTCAACATCCAGACACTTGGCAAACCCTATCAGATTTTCTGGCAGTGTTCCAGGTAGGAATTAATGTCTCATTATCAGACACCCTGTACCCTACTGAGGGTAATGGCATTGGCAAGAGAAGATCACTAAAAGCTATCCTCTTCCCTTTGCTTCTGATGTCCCTACCATCCTCAGCCATGATCCCCACACTATGAATCCCATCTCCCCCTCACCACCCTTGGCCACAATAACAAACCTACCCATGTCCTCAAGTGTTAGCAAGTCTGGCAAGTCTGTAGAGAGAGAGAAAAACAGAGCTAAGGGGCCAAAGCGTGGGGAAGAAACCTGACACAGAAACAGAATCTAGAAGCAGTTGTAGACCATTCAGCCTTTCGAGCTTTACTGCCATTCAATATGATCGTGACTGATCCTCTATCTCAATGCCATATTCCTACTGCTTGACACCTTTAAAATATAGACATTTATCTATCTCTTTCTTGAATATAATCAGTGACTTGCCCTCCAAAAACTTCTGTGATTAAGAGTTCATTCCCCCATCACAATTCTAACTGATCTACTCTCTATTCTGAGACTGTACCCCTTGGTTGCAGAGTTCCTAACCATGAAAAACATCCTTCCTACATCTAGTCTGTCCAGCTCTGTTAGAATTTTATAAATTCAGTCAGATCTCTTCTCATCCTTCTAAACTCGAGTGAATACAGGACTAGTCAAACCAATTTTTCCTCACTGGACAGTTCTGCCATTCCTAGTATCAACCTATTGAACATCTGCTGCATTCCCTGTATGGCAAATATATCCTTTCATATGTAGGAAGATGAAAACTGCACACAACAAGACAATAACATATATATGGAAATATTTGATTCTAAAATTCTATAGACTGTGAAGCTGTTCCTGCAGATTGGAGGGTGGCAAATGTAACCTCACAACTTAAAAAAGGAGGGGAGCGATTAAACAGAAAATTGCAGACCAGTTAGCCTAACATCATCAGTAGGGAAAATGCTAGAATTTTTTTATAAAAGACATGATAACAGAACACTTGGAAAGAATCAACAGGATTGGACAACGCCAGCATGGCGTTGAAAGGCAATTCATAGTTAACAATCTACTGGAGACATTTGAGGATTTAACTAGCAGAATACATGTATACACATGTTTTACTTCTGAACTCAAATCCTCTTACAATGAAGGTCAACATACCATTTGTCTTACGAATTGTTTGCTGCACCTGCCTGATTACTTTCATTGACTGATGTACAAGGACACACATATCACTTTGTACATTCATGTTTCCCAATATATCACCATTTAAACAATGCTTTTCCTTTCTGGTCTTCACACTGAAGTGTATAACTTCAGAGTTAGCTACATTTTACCGCAACTGCCATTTATTTGTCCACTCACTCAACTTGTCTAAATCACCTTGCCTCCTCCTCACAACTCACAGTCCTGCCTAGTTTTGTGTCATTAGTAAACCTGGAAATAATACATTTGGTTCCTTCATCCAGATCATTTATATACATTGTGAATATCAGTACCCAAGCAATGATCCCTGCAGTATCCCACTAGTCAATGCCTGCCCTTGGAAAAATACTCACTTATTTCCACACTCTGTTTCCTGTCTGTCAACAAATTCTCGATCAATGTGAATAAATTACCCCCATCTCATGCAATTTATCTCTGCCAGCTACCCAGTTATGAGGAACCTTCTGAAAATCCATATACACCATATCCACTGGTTCTTCCTTATCCACCTTACTAGTTTACAAATATTGTCAAAAATTTAAAAACAACAATTGTGAACGGGCCTTAAGATGCAGCCAGTGGGTTTTAACACTGCCTCCCAGTTGCTAACATTTTTAAAATTGTTAATTCAACAGGCTGACATTTCATCTGGTTATTTTTGAGGACAACGAGTGAGAAAAAAATACTGACAAAAATATTTTCAATCTCTACATTGAGTTAGCTTAGATTTAATCTTCCATTGGTGAAAGCGTTCATGGTATACATTGAAAGGAAAGCAGAAAGAACTACAGGATTATGCTTTTAAACGCGGTGTAGCTGGAGAGGCACTGGCCTGAAATGAGAGATTGGCGATTATTTTGAGGCTGCGACAGCTGTTGGTTGCAGAAGACAGCTACCCCCACCCCCAGGCAGACTCAGTCCTATGGAATGTGCCCTTTGATGGCAATAACAGGCGACACCACTCGGGCAGTATCAATGTTTACTTATTTAATTTTAAAAAGCTTACCGTTTCTTTCAAGACAGCTTTCAGAGAAAAATAAAACTTCTCGATCCTCCCATCGGTCGTCAGTGAAACAAAAACTTTAGAAAACGTTTGAACGTGGGTCTTACCTGGATACTAAAGCGTACCTTGTCACCAAAAACACTCCGAGCTGCACACGGCCAGGGAGATCCTGACACAGGGCTCTCTGCCTGCAATGTACAAAGAAACTGACGCCAGACAGACAAGTGACAGAACAGCAACCAAAAATAAAACCACTCAACATTCCTTCGTTTTCTCTTTTGTTTTAATCTTATTTAAATCCTTCATTGATTAATAATTTATTATAACTAACGAATATTGAACAACGATATATTTTTAAAATTTATTTGAACTATGTTTATATAGGATCTGCTCAACTGCAGTTGGTGACATCAGTGTTATTTCAGTCAGACAAATAAATCAGACTTAATCTTGTGATGGGCTCAGATTTCAGAATCTAACAAAAGCGTATCAATATCCTTCGATAAATGCTCGTTGTTTACCTGATTGCAATGTACCGTTAAAACATTTAGAAAACTTGGTAGGAAGTAATGGAGACAATAGTATAAATGACTTGACAATGCAAATGAGACGCTGTAAAGACGAGACCATTAGGAGTGCAGATGGAAGTGATACTTGTCAGTATTTCTCTGGAATAAAAAGAAGCCGAAAGCGTGAACTGCCAGCACTAATGTCCAAGGGTTGTTTCGATCGCGTGAGGACAAGTGTCTCACTTCGTTTATGAATTCTAAGTCAGGATGAGTTTTCAGAGGTTTGTGCTCCGACCCTCTACCCTTTTGATTGTAGTTTAGTTTCAGAGTTTTCCTTACCAGAGAGTAAACATTTTTGTAATTTTTTTCTATGTTGGAAAATAGCCACAAACGACATTGTGCAAGGGCAGATAGCATCAAATGTAACAAACTGATGGTCATTTAATGTATAGTCTCAGAATGTATTCTCACAGCTAAAATCACATAATTCATTCAGTAGATGAAGACAGATCCTCGGCTCATTGTCTGCTGAGGGGCATGATTGCTATTGCCTTCCCTCCCAAGAGGCAAAGGAGGGGGCAGATCTCCAGCCAGAGTTAGAGTTGAGCATGGTAGACAAACAGGAGGCTGAGTGTGGGTGGGGGTCACCTCTCTTTATCAGCAGCTCCCCCCACTCCACATCCAGTCCTGAAGAAGGTTAATACCCGAAACATTGACTTCTTTCCTCCAGATGCTGCCTGGCTTACTGTGTTCTTCCAGCCTCCTGTTGGTATACCTTGGATTCCAGCATCTACAGTTTTTTTTGTGTCTTAGAATTGTGCTCATTCTGTCAGTGATATTCAGAACACTAGCTAGCTTTCTAGCCGACTGAGCTAGCTAACCTTGCAAATGAACTAACTAGAATTGTTCTGAAGAAGGGTCTAGGCCCGAAACGTCAGCCTTCCTGCTCCTCTGATGCTGCTTGGCCTGCTGTGTTCATCCAGCTCTGCACCTTGTTATCTCAGATTCTCCAGCATCTGCAGTTCCTGCTATCTCTGAAACAATTTTAACCCCACTGCGAAGCTTCTTCTGAGGGTGCCTACACTGAAGAAGTTACCCTCCTCCCTCTGAAACAACCTCAGTGGATCTCTCTCCCACTGCAACTCTCTCGTAATCTCTTCGGCCTTGAAACTGCTCGATCACGTCCTGAAGCAAACCAGGTACTACAGCCACATCACCTTTCTTAGTACCTGCCTACAGAACCAGATCATCCCCAATGGACTACAGTCCACATTCAGGCCTTCCCAATTTGGCCCCAACCGTGACAATGTCTACATTCAGAACATTGAGATCCTTCAGAAGTGTTTCTCTCGGCAACTCCTGAAACACACACTCGCAGCAATGCGCCGGCATCTCCTGGCACTACAATCAAGCCTACCCCAGCTCAGAGCCTCCCTCTCCCAGACCTGCAAAGGACCTCTCCTGTTTTTTATTCTTCATAGGATCCACAACCTGAACTCACAATTCTACTCAGCTTTATTGGAAACTAAAAACCGTTAAGTACAGTAAACTTACTGGTGCCTACCACCCAAAACGGGCCTACTCCACCTCCAAATCCCCAACCCTACCCAGGACCTTCCCCACAATGTGCCCGCTGCCATTGGCCATGTGGCCACTGTCGGAGAACCCACGGATAACGTTTCTGAAGAAGGGTCTAGGCCCGAAACGTCAGCCTTCCTGCTCCTCTGATGCTGCTTGGCCTGCTGTGTTCATCCAGCTCTGCACCTTGTTAACTAGAATTGAGTTGGATTAATGGCTGGTCTGCGATTAACCAATTTTTTTTGTATCTAAAAAAACATTATAGTGGTTTGTAATGAAAAAGAAAGCTTTTCAGATTCTATAATTCTTTGACACGTGTGATGGGATCTTGTACTCCTAGAAGTGGTGAGCACAGAATGGCAAGGGTACCTGGGGTAGTGGTGTAGCCAAACTCTGACCCCTTCCCACCTCCCCCAGAATTAATCTCTGAGCAGGAATGACCAATGTCAACCTTCCAACTCTGCTGCCAATTGAGACTGGGGTCAAGGGCTGCTGCACTCTGACTGACTGGGAGCTCTTACTGGGTGGGACTTCCAGAGCTCACCTGGAAGATGCATTGTGGATCTTTCATTGGCACTCCAGCTGCCTTACCAAGACCTTCAACACCTCACAAAATTCACCAAAAAGGAACAAAACAAAAACAGAAATTGCCAAAGAAACTCTGCAGGTCTTGCAATATCTGTGGACACAAAACAGAGTTAACATTGCAAATCTTGAGGCCCTTTGAAACACTTAACTCTGCTTTCCCTCCACAGATGCTGCCAGGCCTGCAGCATTCCACAATTTATTTCTGGCTTTGTTTATTTCAGATTTCCAGCATCCGCAGTTCTTTACAAAAACCAAAAGAACTGCAGATGCTGTAAATCAAGAACAAAAACAGAAGTTGCTGGAAAAGCTCAGCAGGTCTGGCAGTATCTGTGAAGAAAAAATCAGAGTTAATGTTTCGGGTCCGGTGACCCTTCCTCAGAACATAAGGAGGCTGAGTGAACGACAGACTACATTGACCCGGTTAGCTTCAGATAATATTACGATTCAGTTACACGCTTAGGTCCTATTGAATACATCATGGAAAGCTTACGGTTTTCAAAAGTTACGTTGTAATGTAAGTTCAGAATTCAGCTGCTGAAGCCACAAACAGGTGTGGATTTTACTTCAACCCTCAGGCCTCATGATTATTTTCTCCCAAGGTCCTGCCACCTGCTTCACTCTGCACAATGCCTTCTTCTCTGTCATATCTTTCACCAGTTAGCACATGGTTTCTCATATCACCACTCCATATTATTATTACAGAAACACGTGTACAGTCTTCTTGTTCTCTGAACAGCATTCCCCAGCAGCGTTCTCTTCTCGATTGATACAATCACTAACCTCCCTCATGGCTCTTCCTTCACCATACTCTAGGCATGCACTTTCTAATCAATATCTCCCCATCTTGAATCTATTAGTTTCTTCTTGCACTCAACATTTACATAAGATGTAGAAATCTCACGTATCAGCGGTTTCCTCTGTGGGGGATACAAGTTGTCATTCACTCGCTCATTCGGACAAGGCACATACCCAATAGAAGGGAAAAGGGTAAAACTGGAAGATACAAAGTGCTGTCAAAACTGGAGCAGCAAGTATTGAAGCTCCAATCACTCCTCCAGAACTGGTAGAGTACGAAAAATGGAAACACAGTACCTCTTTGCAGCAAGGCCTTAGAGATTATTGCTTTCACTCCTTCATAAATATCTGGGAAATGTGTAAACACATTCCTTTGCTCCATGCAGTTGCACTGCAATGTCTTTCATTTGCAACTGACCAGCCTTTCAATCCTGGCCTTTATTTCATTTCTCCATGTCATTTTCAGCAGCAAGACCTCCCTGAAAAATACATCTTGGAAGAAGTGCATATTTCTGAGGAAGACTGTCATCCATTGATCCATCATGTATTCCATTATTCTCGAATGCCAGCAAAGAGATTGATTGTCATAAGATGAGTTAAATGGAAGAACACACGATGAAACACCAAGCAATGATGAACATCCATAGGACTCAGGTAGGGTCAATGAGCAGATAGGCAGCGATGGAGCCCACAGAAAGAGAGACAGTTAGACAGACAAAGAGATAGATACTGGTAAGCCAGGGAGAAAGAAAAGCCGAGAATGGGGACCATGAATTGGTTAAAATGGGTTGGCTGCACTGAAAGCATGACAGGGCTATGGGCATGAAAAGCAGCAAGTGTGAGAGTTGTGCCCTCTCTCAGGATGGTGATACTGTTCTCAACCACCACAGTACCAGCTGAATTTCTGTGGTCTGCAGGAGGTCCATACAGGCTCAACCTCAGAGGTGTTGCTGGTCACAGGTACCTCAAAGGTTCCCATTAGGGCCATAACAGTGCTCTACCAGGTCTGTTGAAGTCATTGGGGTTGCACATGTTAGGAGTGATAGAATTAATAATGCCCGCCAGTTAAATTATCACTATAGAAATGAAAGAATTCACACAGTAGTATGTTTAAATTTGGAATAAATACTTTGATTACAATTGAAACTTTGGTATATTTCTTTTTTCTCATTAAATTCTTAGTTTGTTTTGTCAAAATTTCATTGACAATGAGATTGACAGATTGGTCAAATCTTCTATTCAGTCATCTTAAAGTCATGTCTTCAGTTACATCATTATGATTTACATGAGTTTCATGAAATCAGAGTTTCAACCATGTGATCAGATGCTCGAGAAATGAAAGGATCTTTTATGTCATTATCAAAAGGTCCAATGATATAATAAATAAATGTTCATGTTAAGGATTGATAAGTGAGATAGGTTAAGTGAGATAGTGTACAAAATGATCAGAGGTATAGATAGAGTGGACAGCCAGAGACTTTTTCCTAGGGTGGAGGTAGCTATTATGAGGGGGCATAGTTTTAAAGTGAGTGGAGGTAGATATAGGGGCGACGTCAGAGGTAGGTTCTTTTCTCAGAGATTGGTAGGGGCGTAGAATGCATTGTCGGAGAGGGTAGTGGAGTCGGCCTCATTAGGGGCATTTAAGCGGCTATTAGATAGGCATATGGATGATAGTATAAGGTAGAGGTGGAGGTTAGATAGACCTTAGGATTAGGGTAAAAGTTCGGTACAGCATCGTGGGCCGAAGGGCCTGTACTGTGCTGTACTGTTCTATGT